TCCATTGTGTGTGTATACCACAGATTTATTTATCCGTTTATCTGCAGATGGTCATTCAGGTTATCTCCATCTCTTGGCTACTGTGACTAGTACTTCTAGCTCCCATTCTTGAGTTGGGTACCCAGTCTCAGTCCCAGCTGCATTCAGAGAACCTATTCCTGATCTTGCACTATCCTAGACCCTGAAGTTTCTATATATTCTTTGATAATCTTAAACAGGATAACGCTTCTCTGGCTGGTTAGGGTTCACACTTATAATTATAGAATATTAAAGGAATGTATCCCCTCTGCTTCCAGAGAGGTAGGTTCTTGAGGTGATGGCAGAACTTGCTACTCACATCCTAAAATTCATTTGGGGGGTGGGGGTGGGAAAGCAGGCTAGAGTAGTCAAGATACGTTTATAAAAGAAGGTTAATATAAGATCCTCACCACCAGGCATGAACATCTATGCTTAAGTCTTGAATAATTCAAATAGTGTAGAACTGGGACAGAAAAAGCCAGACAGATGAAAAAATCAGAATTGAGAGCCCAGAACTTCTGAATAAAGAAGCAACTTGATTAGTATAAACATCTGTGTTTGTACCAAGAAAACTGCCGCTGCTGCTGCTAAGTCGCTTCAGTCGTGTCCAACTCTGTGCGACCCCATGGACAGCAGCCCACCAGGCTCCTCTGTCCACAGGATTCTCTAGGCAAGAATACTGGCTGGGTTGCCATTTCCTTCTCCATCACTAAAACAAAGTTGGGCTAATTGTCAGTCTTGAAGAGAATTTAATATAGTAGAGCTGATATTTTTATGATTAGATAAAAATCACTAATCTCAGTATTGTGTAGAAAAGAACAGCATGTACTGAGGATTCCTTCTTGTTCTAAACTTAATATCTTCTCAGATCTACTTACTGGTTCCTAGGCAATTTATGGAAATTTCTAGAATGACATAAATATTGCCTAACTCAAATTGGTCACAGTAATCATCATGCTTTATTTTAACATTCGGGGGACATATCACATTGTTTTCGATTATCTCTTTTTGTCCTTAAATGTGACATTGTAGAGATTTTTTTTTAATAAGAAACTTACTTTTTTAAAAAGAAAGGAACAACTTGAGCATAAACACAGGACTCTCAATTCTGATAATGATGACCAGAAGAATGCAAAACTAGAGAAAACAAAATTGCTTTGTTTCTGAAAGCTAAGACGGATTGACACCTGACTGCCAGAACCATATGAGAACACGTTGGGATGGCGTGGAAAAGACATCAAGAGCTCCCTTCCTTTCACCTCCCAAAGATAACCATATGGCCTCAAATGAAGCGAAGAGAGAGCTCCGTGGATACCTGTAGTGTGTAGCTGGTTGGACCTGGGAGCAGGGTTTAGGCTTGGACTGGAAAGCAGCCCTCTGCTCAGAGTATTTTTAGCTACAGTGGAGCAGTGGAGGTTTGCCAAGGGCTCTGGGGACTCAGATGACCACAGCAAGCTGAAAGCAGAGAGGGCAGTGAACCACAGAGACCATCAGGGACGGAGGCCAGGCAGTCACTGAGGACAGCGGTGTCCAGAGGTGAAGGCCACTGGCGGTACGGTTTTGGCCCCAGTGTCAGGACTCTCCCAGGTACAACAGGAAGCAGGCTCAGAAAGGGATGTGGTCATTCAGTCTCCACCTCTAGCCTTGGAGCTTTGCCAGACCTGGAGAAGAAGCCTCCCAGGGACAAATGCCACTGCCAGGATCATCCTGCCCTTGGCAGTCTGGCCTTTCCCTCTAGGCTTGGAGCGCTGAACCAACAGCCTGCCCACCAGTCCTTCACTGGAGAGAAGGACTGCAGCAGCTCCCAGGTGACAAGAGGGGCAACGCCAAGGGCGCTGGGTGACCAGCCATGCTTCACTTAGCTAGTGAGAAGAACACGATCTTTACAGTTCACCCAGCTAGTTACCATTGCTGATATACTCTAGTCATTCTTTTTTTTTTTTTTTCATTTATTTTTATTAGTTGGAGGCTAATTACTTTACATCATTGCAGTGGGTTTTGTCATACATTGAAATGAATTAGCCATGGATTTACATGTATTCCCCATCTTGAATACCCTGATTTCCTTCTGATATCATTTCCCTTCAACCTGAAGAATTTCCCTAAGTATTTACTGTAGTCAAGTCTGCTAGCAAACAAATTACCTGATTTTCTCCTTTACCTGAACTATCTTTATTTCACCTTCATTTCTAGAGGATATTCTGTGTTCTGGGTTGATAGTTTTCTGTTTGGTTTTCATTTTGTTTTATTTTCTGGACTGTGATTTCTGCTGAGAAGTCTGTGGTTATTTAAATCAATGTTTTCCTTTATGTAATGTTTTGTTTTTCCTGGCTACTTTCAAGATTTTCTCCTTCTCTTTGGTTTTCAGCCATTGGATTATGATGAATCTAAGTGTGGTTTTTCTGTGACTATATCTGGTTTGGGGTTTGTTGAACTTTCTGAATCTGTAAATTTCTGTTTTTCACCAAATTTGGGGAGTTGTGGCAATTATTTATTTTTCTGCTCTCTTTCTGGGGCTCTAGTGAGCTGATTATTATATATAGATCAAGTAGATCTAATGATCTATTTGATGCCTTTTAACTGTGGTGTTGGAGAAGACTCTTGAGTGTTCCTTGGACTGCAAGGAGATCAAATCAGTCAATCCTAAAGGAAATCAATCCTGAATATTCATTGGAAGGACTGATGCTGAAGCTGAAGCTCCAGTACTTTGGCCACATGATGTAAAGATCTGACTCCTTAGAAAAGATGCTGACTCTGGGAAAGATTGAAGGCAGGAGGAGAAGGAGATGACAGGATGAAATGGTTGGATGGCATCACTGACTTGGACATGAGTTTGAGCAAGCTGTGGGAGTTGGTGATGGACAGGGAACCCTGGCATGCTGCAGTCCATTTGGTCACAAAGAGTCGGACACGACTGAGCGACTGAACTGAACTGAACTGAACTGAATGAGCTGATGTTGTTAACAGACTTTTTGATACTGAGGCGCAGGAACCTGAGGGTCTGACCACTTTTTTCATTTTCTTTCTCTTCTCCAGTTTGCTCTGTGTTCAAGTGTACTGACTTGATATTCATTCTTTTTTTAAGGCCTTTTGGTGAATTTTTTTTACTTCAGATATTCTACTGTAAATCTTGTATTTCCATTTGATTCTGTTTTGTGTGTTCAGTCCTAAAATGGAGTCACATGAGACTGTTCAGCGAAGCACAGTCTAGCCTCCAAAAGGAATTGATAGCAATTCAGCAACATTGGTCTCTCCCATGAAGGTTGGCGAGAAGCCAATTCAAAACCCATAGCAACACCTTTAAAAATTACCTGTCTTCATTACTCTTTCAGAATATCTTATTTTTTTTTATGTTTATTTATTTATTTTTGTGCTGGGTCTTCCTTATTACACAGGCTTTTTCTCCCATTGTGGCAAGCGGGGACTACTATTCCTTGTGGTGTGCAGGCTCCTCATTGCAGTGGCTTCCCCTATTGTGGAGCACGGGCTCTAGGGTTCAGTAGCTGCAACTCCAGGGCTCTAGATAGAGCACAGGCTCAGTAATTGAGGCACAGGCTTAGTTGCTCCATAGCACATGGGGTCTTCCCAGATCAGAGCTCAAACCCGTGTCTCCTGCATGGGCAGGCGGGTTCTTTACCACTGAGCCACCGGGGAAGCTTGTCTCAGTATATCTTATGACTGCACTTGCTCTGAAGCCTCACTGTGGAATAGTAAATGAACTTGAAAGACAGCTGTATAGCCTTTTCGTTTTCCTCCTCTCCATTCTAATTTTCTCTTCATGAAAGCAATGCTTGTTCTCTCTTTTTATTATAAGGTGATCAAACCAGTCCCTCTCTTTGAAAATTTCTGCTCTTTCTGTTCTCATCCTGAGCAGCTTAAACCCAGAAATCAAGACAGCAAACTCTGAATCTCCCTGAGAAAACGTACATGTCCAAAGATAGATTCATTTAGGGGGTTAAGTGAGAAGAGCAGAAGGAAATCATAAATATTACACTTATAATATATATCATATATGTAACTACTTACATACATAAATATATGTGATATATATGTAATCTACTTGTGCTACAGATAGTAACAGAAAGTTCCATAATTTATAGTTTGTACAATTATAGTGTTTTACATTTTCTAACCAAAGCATGACTCCACTGGCCCTTCTCTGAATTTCCAGGTGAATTCCAGACTCTCATAATAGTACCATTTATTATTTTAATATTTATTTCATTTATTTATTTGGCTGTGCCAGGTCTTATTTGTGGCACACGAACTTCCAGCTTTGTTGTGGCCTATGAACTCTTAGTTGCAACCTGAGGGATCTAGTTCCCTGAGCAGGGATCAAACCTGGGCTGCCGGCATTGGAAGCGTGGAGTCTTAGCCACTGGGCTTCCAGGGAAGTCCCAGTACTCCCATTTATTGACAATTTATGGTACCAGGCACTCTACTAAGCAACCCGCATACATGTTTTAATCAAACAATAGCAATCCCACAGGGCATGGTTCCCATTTACAAATGAAAACCCTGAAGGTCAAAGAGGTTGAACAACTTGCCCAGAGTTATCCATCCAGGAAGGGGCAAGATGTGGGACTTGAACCCAGGTGACACTTTCGAGACGAAGCCTTCTTTACTCTGTCTCCTATTTTGAAATCATGGCAGCATTTGATGGTATTCACCTCCTAGGTAATATAGCAGGGGGAGACAGAATGCGATGCTGTGAAAATAATGCTCACTTCAAAGAGGAGAGGAGACTTCTAGTCTCTGGTGGTCGCTCACTTGCTGGAAAACCCTGCAACCCCTCAGCTTCTCTCATCCTTTCTTGTCCGTGCCCACAACAGAATGCAAGTGTCCTTCACACGCCTCAGACTTTCAGAACTGTTCTAGAAATAATATGAGAAGAGTGATCAGGCAGAAAAAGATGTGAGGCAAATAGAAGTGATCACAATCAGTCTTAGCCCAGCTCACATACTGACACTACCTTTTCTAAGTTTTACAGTTACGACTCCAACAGAGAAGGACCCAAGAACAGCTGGCTAACCAAGGCATCGTACCACGTGAGTAGCTCTGTTTCTTATGGACTGGTCTCTATGGGGGTGACTGGGGTGGGGGGAACATGTGATTTGGGAGCTGGAAAGCACCTCAGAGGTCATAATCCAATTTCACGGATCAGTCTCCCCAGATCCTCACGGACTCTGGGTCAGCAGGAATCCCAGACCTTAGAGGCTTTGTCCCAAATGCTACTCACATGCCAGGGCTTCCTTTTACTCACAGAGGTTTGTACCTAAAATTCTAATGTAGTGGATTTGATTACAGGACAAACACAACTCTATGGGCCTCCATCCCCACTCCTATTTTTAGAATTGGATATAATCACTGTTCTTCCTGGAAGCATTAATTGTATCATCTTTCTCTCACCTCCTTGGTTTCACTTCTGTTTGAGTACTTGAGTCCCCAGTTAATTGAATATTGTCAATTGCTTCCTTTCTGGAATAATGAGCAGCAATACCATTCTAGTATAAATGGTATAACAAATTACTGGCCATCATTTGGGTCAAACAAGAAGGATTATCCTATCTTTTGGAAGGTATATTTGAAATTTCCTACCTTGAAACTTGAAAACTTCAAGTTGAGCAGTTGAAGCTGCCTTCTGGTTAGCTATAAAAACAGAAAAAGTACCAGATAAATAGAATCACCATGTAAGCTCCTTTAGGTCACACTTTCTTCTTCCCACAGAAGTTAAAATTTTTAATTTTTTAATTAAAATTTAAAAAATCAAAATCCATAATGACTCCTGCAGAAATCCAGGTCTTTGTCCAGACTGTGACTTCATAGTTAAGCATGCAACAAGCAAACATTTGCCCTTGATTGAATGTCCTACAGTTAGTAACCTTGGTGCCCTGTGATCCAAAGTCTAAACATTTTAAGTATAGTCGGTGCTTCAGAACCAGAAGAGAACTAAGAATATTTCAAGCTCTTTCCTTTGGGAATTCAGATGAAGTTCTTTGTTCATGGCTCAGCCCTACAAAGAATAAACAGCAGGTGACCTATGGCAGAACAACTTTTTTTAGCGATTTGCTAAGCGCAAAAGAAAGATCTCACCCTGCAACTGAAAAGTTGCTTCGATCAAATGTACAGTTAGAATGAGAAACCAAAGTCACGAGGCTGTGTGGTCTGTTTCATCTTTGCCAGCCCAGCAAGGCAGGTGTTAAAACACAGGAGAGACCCGGAATCTACAGGCTTCATGTCAGATAAATACACTGGCACTCAAAGCCGAGCAGGCCAGTCTTATTTCTGAATCCTCTTGCAAACGTGTAGAATTGAATTTGTTTAACCACCATCTAGAAGAGCGATTCACTAACAGTGGAGTATAGACAAGTGTAGATCCACCAGGATCCTCTCAGCAGACCATAGTCTCTACCACATGCCCTCAAATATAAGATGAATACGCCAGTTTCAGGGGGATTAAAATAATCAGTTCTTTCATGGGGGCTTCCCAGGTGGCTTAGAGGTAAAGAATCCACCTACCAATGCAGGAGACTTGGGTTTGATCTCTGGACCGGGAAGATCCTCTGGAAAGGAAATGGCAAGCCTCTCCAGTGTTCTTGCCTAGGAGACCCCAAGGACAGAGAAGCCTTGCTGGCTATAGTCCACGGGGTCCCACAGAGCTGGACACAACTTGGCAACTAAACAATAACAACAGCAATCCTTCATGGGCATCTCTTTCCCTTAATTCTGGAAAGGCAATTGAAGTAGAGAGACCCAGTACCTTTACATCTGCTCAAGCTGTTCACAACTGATTTAAAGTTTAACCTACGTGTTTAAATAATCCAAACCTGGGTCTTGCAGCTGCCATTTGAAGGAGGATAAAATTTTTTTTGAGGTTTCTGGAATTAAATTTCAGGAGTAAGACACCTAATAAAAACAGGAATGAATCCTATGGCACATTTTTACATAACACCCCTATGTAAGGCATGCAAATTAAATGTCCATTTGCAGAGTAGAGTCCAGTGGAGATAGAATATTTTGTTCTCCAGGATTTCCAGAATCAGATAGTGTGGGGCTTCCCCAGTGGTTCAGATGGTAAAGAATTTGCCTGCAAAGCAGGAAAAACAGGTTCAATCCCTGGGTCAGGAAGATCCCCTGGAGAAGGGAATGGCAACTCACTCCAGTAGTCTCGCCTAGAGAATTCCACGGACAGAGGAGCCTGATGGGCTACAGTCCATGGGATTGCAACGAGTCGGACACGACTGAGTGACTAACACTTTCACTTTTTTTCCACTTTTCTCCAGGATTTCCAGAATCAGATAGTGTATATATTAATGAAATACTGCTTAACAGAAATTTTGCACCCATGGCCCATTGTGTCTTGAAGACAGTTACTGGGGAAAGTCCTATGAGTCAAGCAGTGATGTTTCCTTTTTAATTCAGCAAAACGAGAAAGGTAGATTAAGCAGCATCAGTTTCCCATAGTCTTCAGCCACCTCCTCTCCGAGGGTGTCACTTCTGCTGTAGACAATTGTCAAAGCTACAGCAGGTGCACCCAGCCCACTGCAGGCTCAGCTCCAGGGACTTAGCACTTCTGGGGAAGCTGGACCCAGACAAGCCTCTGCACCTGCTGAGATGTGGAGCCCAGATGGTAGCCCCATCAGCCCAGAGCCTAAACACCAGTCTCTTTACTCAGCCACCCCCACCCCACCACCAGGAACATGTGTGTAAAGGCAGTTGCTCCAGAGAAGGAAGCAGAAACTCACAGTCTCTGGGTCTTTTCTATTCAATCAGATTCAATGTATTTCATGATGACCCAGACTCTGTGCAGGGTGGTGTGCTGGGCTCTGTGGGGACCACCATGAGCACGACTGTACTTTGTAGAGGCTCAAGATTTTAGGGGGAAAGGTGACAAGAAACACAGAAGGTGGGACAGGTTATATTTCCCAAGAGGGCTTTTTATAGCTTCCTTCTATCATCTGAATTTTCTGAAGCGGAAGGAAGGAGGAAAGGAGGAAGAAAGGGAGTAGAACGGAGGGAAGCAAAGCTGATAGTCATTGGAGATCACGTAATTTGATGATTTTCGGTGTTTTTTAATAGATAAACTGTGTGTTATGTGTGTGTGTGTGTATATATATATTTACATACACACACATATACTGGCTGAAACAGGGTCAGGGGCCTCTGCCCCACTCACTCGGCCCCCCTCACCCCTCTTAGATAACCCTGTTTCTCTTCCCCAGGGTCCTCTGCAAAGAGAGTTTGAAAACCCTGCCCTAGTCCACATCTCACTGTCTTTAACCTTCATGAAACTGAGATTGGAGAGGCCTCAGAGATGCTTTAAACATCCCAAAGCCAGAGACCAAAGCGGTCCTATTTACAAACTTGAACTGCGAGACTTTAAATGCATGCACAGTAAAATGATAACACAGCTTCACGTTGTCCATAGCACTGGAAATAACTGCAGTGCTCCCCCTGAATTTTCAGACCTGTTACAAATTGTTCAAGTGGCTAGCTGCTGGCCAGGTGAATTGTTCATTGTCCTTCTGTTACTACCAGGTAGCCCTGCTGGTTTTAATTTGTTCACAGAAACACCTGCTCTCCTTGGACAGAATTAGTCTTGAGTTGTACATTAGACTGACCCAAGGCCTTTGCCTGTTGCAAAAAGAAGAAATTGTAGTCCCCTCCTGTTGCAGCAGCTGAGGCCGAAGCCTGCCTCTCTTGATCCTGGAGTAGCAGCCAGCACAGAGCCCCTTTAAACAGTATGAAAGCGCTCTCAGCCAGAAGTACACCTCCAGTCTGGCTTCTAAGATTGCTTTCACATTTATAGTATCATTGGTGGAATTCACACTTTCAAAAGAGTCGTGAAACCTGAGTGAACTAGCCTCTCGACACTAGTGTAGAAATATTACTTTAAGAATTTATGGTTCAGACTCCCTTCCAGAATCCCACCTCTGAATCTCAAAAGGAAAGTTTCAAATTGCCTACTTGTCACCGTCAACTGGAATTTAGAAGCATGGCTCTGCCACCGTCCCCGTCAGGCTCAAGGCTGCAAGAGGACATCAGGGTTCACTTATTTTTTCTTGTTTGGGGACACAGCCCAACCTCCTATCCTTCCCGGACACCTGTGGGCAGGCTCAGGTCTGGTCATCATTTCTCATGCAGGTTTTCTCCACTACATTCTTCTCTTTGGGCACCAATCTCATGGGTTGAAGGGTAAATGCTGTGGGTCAGATGGTAAACAATCTGCCTGCAAAGCAGGAGTCGTGGGCCCGATCCCTGGGTGGGAAAGATCCCCTGGAGAAGGAAGTGGCAACCCACTCCAGTATTCTTGCCTGGAGAATCCCATGGACAGAGGAGCATGGCGGGCTACAGTCCATGGGGTCGCAAAAGAGTTGGACATGACTGAGTGACTAACACATATCTCCTGAGTTGAATCTTAAATACTGTTTTATTCCAATCCCTTCGGAAGTCTTAGTGCAGAAAGAGAATCACCTCTGAGTTTTCAATGAAAAAAAGAAAAAGTCACAGAGTAGTTCAGTAGATATTTTGACCATCTGTTGGGAGAAAAGCCCCATGGAACACAGAGGAGTTAGACGTGAATTCTGTTTCAAAGAGCTTACCGTCTAGAATGTTCTCCCCATTCTCCTGCTTAGTTATGCCTGTTAACAATATTGGACAACATCTCACCACTACATGGAGTAGGTTTCTGGGAGACCTGAAGGAAAGAAATGACTTTCTCTCTCCTTCTGCTAGTACACTGGGGCTGATCTCTATGAATCCAGGGGAGAGAAGCAGGAACATTGAGTTGATTCTCCTGGAATCCAGAAAACGGCATTAGAGAACTGAAGTCTATTACAGAAGCCCAGGGGGCACCCAAGAGGCTGCGACTTCTCCGCCGAGACTCAAAGAAAGCCCCGCTGGCCAGAGAGAAGCATCTGGGCAGCTTGTTCCGTGGTCTGACGGATGTTGATGAATGGAAAGATACGATGAGCTGTGTGTGAATGGTGCTGCCTTTATTTGTTTTGCAGACTAATCCAGGCCTCCGCAGCCACATACTTACAGCAAAGCCTTGGTAAATCCCCCAGTTCTGTGGTCCTCCTCCTGAATAGCGAGAGGCGTCATGGGCCGGTTCCTGCACCCACAGCACACGCAGCTTCTTGATAGTTTTGAGAAGTTGGCGGGGCAGAGTCTTCCTTCCTTTCCTCAGTGCCTTCCTCTGACTTGGCTTCTCCCCACAGCACCCACTCCCCCGCCCCCCCCCCCCCCACTGTTGGCTGTTTGAGCAGAACACGGCACAAGGGTTTCATCTGTCCCCCTTCCCTCCCTCCTAACATCTCAAATGTGGAGTGAGAAAAAAAAAAAGCCTCCTCAATTTTCATACCAAGCCCATTTGGGTCCTAAACCCTAACTTTTCTGTTTCCCCCAACTCTTTCGTTCTATTTTCTAGTTCCTTGCTCCTTAGAAATTAGTCAACTAGTAATGCAGGCATCATGGGAATGTATCTGTGGACCCTTCTGAGAAATTCCTGAGTATTCATGTAGAAGGCATTGAATTCCCTAAGCATGCAAGCCATAATATTACAAAGCTCCATTGGGAAAAGGCAATCTTTTCAGACCCCCTGAGACTATCCTTTGGGTCCTGAACGGGCCATCTGTTGCCACCCTAAAGAGATGAAACAGTTTCCAAAGTATTAACCACACGTGCCTAGCATGGATCCCATTCATTTGGAAGAAAAATACTCCTGGTCCAATTTGTCTTTAAAAGCAAAGCCAATGGACTTCCCTGGTGGTCCAGTGGTTAAAACTCTACACTCCCAATGCAGGAGGGCACAGGTTCGATCCCTGGTTGGTGAGCTGAGATCCCCCATGCCATACAGCATGACCAAAAAAAAAAAAAAAAGCAAAGTCAAGAGGACAAGCATTGCTAAACCTGTTTGTAAGTGGGAAACTGAGAACATGGGAAGACTCTCAGACTTGTTCAAGGCTGCACCAGAAATAGATGGCAAAGCAAGGACAGAACCCAGAGGGATGGCTCCCAAAACTTTAGTCATCCAAGACTTCTTTAATTATACCCATGACTACTGTAGAACTTGTATTTAAATCAGTTTTGTCTTCCTCCCCCCAAGCCCCTATATATATGAATTATTATCCATATATCTGTCTTTGATTAATTAATGGCATATAAACTTACCAGCCAGTGCTTTTTGATGCGAACAAGCAGTTCTTAACCAAGTTGTTCTGCTTCTAGGCAGCAACTATGAAAAGTGGCAGTTTCATGAAACTAAGCAGCCTTTCTCTGGACAAACACACCCTTTTTCTTCAGTTTTTTGAAATACTGAAAAATCTGTTGTAGACATCAGCCACCCCTTCTTGAAGTCTCTGATTCCCAAGTACCTCTGATCAGGACCTACTTGCCATGGAAATGCCAGAGAACCAGAATCCCCCTGGGGGGCTTGTCCAAACACAGACCCTCTGTCCCTCCGCCTCTCACCCATGCTTTGGATTCCGTAGGTCTGGGTGGGGCCTGAAAATTGGTCCTGTTAGCAAGTTTCCAGATGATGCCAAAGATGCTGGTCCAGGGCCACACTTTGGAAACCACTGCCCCAACTGCTGACCCAGAACACCAGCTCTTGGATGCAGCCTCTTGGTCCTGACCCGTATACTGGAAGAGGAGCTGGGTTCTCCCCTCCACGCCCAAGGGGAGAAGGCAGGCCCCGCCTCCGCCATCAGAACTGCCACCAGCCCCAGGCTCCTCTCCCTAACAGATTGTCAATGGCCCTCCAGCCTGTTTTCTCTTTTTTCCGGGTCCCTGTTGGAGGCAGGAGGTTAGAAGCAGGGGACCACCACAGGAGGTCTGTTCTTATCTTGGGATCTTTTTCTGAGCTCTAAGTAAGCAAATGTTTATACACACAACTGACCCAAATTAGCCGGAGCTGCGCGGACAGAAATAGGAATAGCCCGTGACTAAACTCCTCATCGAGAACATGAATTCCCCTGTGAGAAGCGATTCATCTTCCTCCCAGGGGATGAGTGAGACGTGTGGCTGACTGAATTTACAACTGTATTTTAATTTGGAATCACATTGACTTATTTTTTTTTAATTTAGCAATCCAAATTCCTTTTTCAATCCTAAATGTCAATGTCCCTTAAATACAGAATGTTGCCATTTGATACTCCCAGGGCTGTCAGCAGAGGAGTTCCTTCGTGGATTTTCCAAAAAGTCAATGTGGTGCACGGGGATGCAGTTTCACTTTTCTTGGCCCTTGGGGGGAGGGACTGAAACCCTCTTTTCTCTGGAATCCCAGAAAAGATACATGTCAATCACAGAGGCCATGGCAGGCCAATCCAGTGCCCCATGTAACATCCTTTAAGTCCTGGAAAGAAGAGTGTGGGGTACAACCCAGTGTGTGAATCTTTTTAGCTTCCTTCCCAAGTCCTTGATGAATGGTCATAGCCTCTCCCACTTTGTGGCAGAAGGTTCCAGAAGACCATTGTGCACCTGGCATCAGAGAACTGGACTGTTCAGTCATTTCACAGGGGAACTGTTACCACCAAAGAGTGATGAATTGTAATTCTGCAGGCTAAGATACAGGAAATGAAGCATTTCATGGAAGAGTTAATAAGCTCCACTAATAAGAATCAAAAAGCCTCAGAGATAAGAGAAGCAGATAAATTCCCCCTAAACCCTAAGCCCAATTAAAACCAATTGAGTCTAGAATGTAAAAGCCATCTCAAGATAGATTCATGCTGTCCCCTTAGGGCTGCTTCTTAAGGAAAAAGTTGTGTCACTCTTTTTAATGACTAAGTAAGGAAGCCCACACTAAAATCAACTCCTTTTCTGGGTTATGGAAGGGATTAAGCCACATCAGTATATAATACCTAGGTGACCACCAGACTGTTGGACAGAGGTGAAGACCTATGGGTTCAGATGGTGCAGGCTCATCAGGACCCAGTGGCCCTCGAGCAAATTTGTAGAATCTGGTTGCCTGAGGAAATGGGAGATGGTTTCAGAACTCCATCAGTGTAAATTGCAGCTGTGATCAAAGGCAAATAAAGACAAGCCTCCTGACTCAGGATGGGGGTCAGACCCAAGTCAGAGAAAATGTATGAGCAATGCAACAGACCCGCACATTTTTCCAGAGCCACTGAGTCAGGGGACAGGGGAGGGGAAAGAGGCCACTGAAAAGGGCAGAGTTGGCAGAGAGGTTCCTTTTAAGAGTGAAAAGCACCAAAGAGAAACTGGAGGTGTTAGATCGATGGGAGATGTGTTGGTCAAGCAACAATTGACTTTTTTCCTCCTATGAAAGGGAAGCCCCTTAGTCTCTGGTCAAATTGAGGAGAAAAGGACTTGTCCAGTCTCCTTGGCACAGGGCAGCCTGCTGGGACCAGTCTGCCTGTTCCGTTGGTCAACTCTGCAGTCGTTCGGGTGAGATGGAAAGTCTGGAGAGAGATGCCTCAGTAGCCCCCCAAGCTCCCCAAGCAATATCCAAGGATAATGGTCTTGACCAGCTGCCAGCACCAGAGTGGAGGCTCCCTTCTCTCCAACAAGCCCGTCCAAGAGCTGGGCTCACATGCGGCATGGTTTTGAGGCTGAGTGAGACACACACATTCAACGCATGCACATGCTCACACATTCACACACACAGCCCCAAGTGCCCATCTGGTTAGATATCCAATTTTTTTTTTTTTAAAGTTTGGAAGACTGTTTCCTTGCCTGCAGCTTGGAAGTTGACATCTTTTGAAGTCATACTAGAATTCTGGATCACATGATCCACTCACTTGTCCAGACCTCCAATCCAGGAGAATATTCGATAAAATTCTGCAACCGCTGAGCAACCTCATCACTTCTGATGAAAAGTTACCATTTATGGCTCTGGGTTGTGATTGTTCCAGGGGATCAGGAAAGGCAATGAAAAGGCAGATTTTTGCAAAAGCAAAGTCAAAAGTTCATCACTGTGAGGCATTGCTGGGAGCTGGAAGGAGGAGAAGCAGCAGGGTCGTGGAGAGAAGGGAGGCTGGTGTCTGGTCCAGGTTGTTTCTGGCTGCCGTGGACTGTGATGGACCAGTGCCCATGTCTACTGGTTGTCAGTGTTTTGAGCATCACAGCTGAAGAGAAGTTAGATGGTCAGAGGACCTAGGCTCCTAGCCCTACCAGTGTGACCCTGAACGAGTTAATCCCATTCCAAGGGCCTTAAGTTTCCCCTTTATTTCACCATCTCCAAGGTCCCTTCCAGCCCTCAAAGCCTCATTCTGTGCTTCTCTCTCAACACCCTTTGGTTGCATGTTCTTGCCCGACCAGCCACCTACCTGACCCAAAAGGACAAATTGCCTCCCACAACATGGATCACAGCCCTTCCACTGACCTTGACCTCCACCCATACTTCTGCGCTCAAGGGCAGGGCAAAGTCAAAGAGAGTGGTGGTCACTCCAGTCTCCCCATTTCCCTAAAACTAGAGCATCACCTGTCCCCACCCCCAGGCCTGCCCCTCTTGGGAATCTTGGAATGCCCTGTCTCTGCCACTCCTCTTCCTGTCGCGTATTCTGCCCGCGCTGCTCCTCCTGTTTGAGGCTGACGTCCACCTTTCTCTATGCCCTCCGGCCTTGGGGAGGCTGGTGACCTCCAGGCCTTTCCTCTTCAACTGCTTGTGGCCTGAAGAAGGCGATCACCTCCCCCCCACCCCCGTGCACAGCTCAGCAAGCACATCGGTAAACACCACCACGCTGCTCCAGGCCCCAAGGCCCCCTGCTCACATCTCTATCTTTCTGTTTCAGCCCTGAAAAGCCCACCTGAATTCCATGAACAAAGAAAGCATTTGGATAGTGACAAGGTAAATTTCTGCAAACCTCCCATCTTTCTGATATCAGACTCTAGGCTATGGATCCCCAGGTGCTAAGTTTGGGCAAATTTCTCCTACAGTTGGCTGGTCCCCACCCCCCACACTGTGTGGAATCTTCCTCCTAGGCTCTGAAAACTGTGGAAATAGGATCAATGATGTTGGCTTTGAAACTGCTATTGGTGAGCTTTTAAAAAAAAAGATGTCCCCAGTCTTTCTGATGTCGATCAGGGCATCCCTGCAAGGAGTTTTCAGAGAGACATGAAATGAGGTAGGTAAGATAGGTTGGCAAGCTGGCCTCTCTTTCATGACAGGCATTTCTCAGCAACGATCAGATGATTTTAAATCCAATTCAGTGGTAGGGTAAGGCCTGCGGATACGGGGCTTATTTAAGGCTATTTAAAGGCGAAAGGGTTTCCCTGGTGGCTCAGTGGTAAAGAATCCACCTGCCAGTGCAGGAGATGCGGGCTCAATCCCTGGGTTGGGAAGATCCCCCGGAGAAGGAAATGCCAACCCACTCCAGTATTCTTGCCTGGAGAATCCCATGGTCAGCGGAGCCTGGTGGGCTACAGTCCGTGGGGTCGAATAAGTTGGACACGACTGAGTGACTAAACAACAGTGGAAGGCTAAAGGAATTCTGTTTATTTCTCTTTCTTTTAGCATTTGAGGGGGGAAATTAGCATGTATTCTATACCTTCAGAGCAGGTCTCTGCAACTTGAATTTATTGATACTGTAAGTGCTAATTAGGGAGCATCAGCAGTGCCCCTAGAAGGAAGACCAGTCCTCCTGGGAGGTCACTGCTAGAGAGTCTAGGCTGGCAGCTAGTGAGGGGGTGGGGGGCGGGGAAGATGGGCAGAGCTTCAGGACTCCCTAGAGCTGCTCATGGGAGGCTGTGCTTCCTGCTGCCTGGAGAATAACTGCCTTTCATCAGAACTGGAGTGAGCCCCAGACCCCTCTTTGGGGGGCCAATTAAGAGATTCAATACAGTGAGATCAGAACCCAGAAATGAGGGCCCTGAAGTCCAGTTACGGCTCTGCTGCAGCCAACTCCATCTCTGCAGACAACTCCATCATCAAGAAAACTTTAAGACTCAATAAATATTACATCTGTAAGTGTCCTTGCAGCTTCAACGTGGGTCTCAATCTGCAGGATTCCCATTTTCACATCCTGAGACAAAACTCAAGGGAAAAACAGGAGGAGGGCATGTGTTGTCATGTTATACTGGATGTCATGAGGTTATATTTCATCTCTGACTCTAGTTAATTTGTGATTCCTTTACAAAATAAGGTTGGCTATAATATAAGCAGCATGATGATATCAGTTTTATTAATATTTTATGAATAGGTACCTGTCAGCTCTTTAATTTTGGAGCGCTGAGGTGGACCAAAGCTTTTGACATCTTTGTCTTATTTCTCCATCCTGAAATTACTAGAGCGGTTTAACTAGATGAGTCCTCCTTCATCAGAATGTAGAACAGGGATATTCGCAAGTTTCATTTGTAAGAAGGTAATGCTTTTTCCTTTTGAGAGAAAGGGGTTTCTTTTGAAGTTAAAATTAGACGATTCGGCTGTATGATACTGAGAGTGGAATTGATTCGATGCTTGTGTCCGACAGGCTGAAGACACCCTGAAGCGCAAGGCAAGAAGCAGGTCTGACCGTGCGGCTGTGGTGAAAATGCACATACTCCAAGGTAGGGTCGCCCGGAATCGCTAATCCAGTGCCTGTCAGGGAGACAGGAACGCGGGCCATTGTTCAAGGTTCTTTGTCTCTGCACTGTGGCCGAGTCTGCTTAGAAAGGAGCCAATTCCATTCCGAAGTGGGTTTTGAGCTGTCATCTCGTCATTCGAGGCCATGTAGATGGTCAAATCGAGAAGCCACACGGTGGCCCAGAAGGTACCACACTTGGGGTCCAGTCTGAGCTGCACTAGTGCTCAGCTTTCTGTGAGCACATAGGGAATATCCAATGTATATCAACTTCCTTTAGGATGTCCATCCTTCATACTAGTAATAAACGTTTAGTTTCAGAAGAGTTTCCCTAGTGGCTCAGCAGTAAAGAATCTTCCTGCAAAGCAGGAGTCTCAGGTTCGATCCCCGGGTCGGGAAGATCCCCTGGAGGAGGGCATGGCAACCCACTCCAGCATTCTTGCCTGGAGAATCCCATGGACAGAGGAGCCTGGCCGGCTACAGTCCCTGGGGTCACAAGAGTCAGACACGACTGAAGCAACTGTGCATGCAAGGCTTACAAAATGATGTTTACTGAGGAGACCAGAAAACAAAACGATATTCACAGTGGAATTCAGGAAAGCAAAGTATATACATAAATTGTATTTATAGTCAGATTCTATGATGAAAAGATAAAGACCTAACAATAACTACTGTGTAAATAATTAAGAAATATACCCAATTATTAAAAACAGTAGATTCTAAGTGCGGGAGGTTTCCCAATGCTTTCATTTCTTTTGCATAACTTTTTTTAGTATTTTCTACACTTACAGCAATATATATGTATCAGTTCAGTTCAGTTCGAAAAAGGAATGTTATCTGTTGCATCATTACCATCTTGAATTAAAACATCAGGCTATGAACCCCGAGAATCGGACACAACTGAGCAACTGAGCACACACACACATTAATAGAACAGTGGTACTATGAGGTCTGGAAAGATCTCACCTTCTAAATTTTCAGAGTTGAGCAGAAAGCAGCAAAGTCTCATGGAACCCTAACTTCCGGTTCTGCCTTATTGCAACAACTGGCTTTCAAGACTCTCTTCCATGTTCTTGCACAGATATAAGTCAGGGCCTTGCTCAGAGAGGAATAAAGAGTGATTTAGAGTTTGTTAGTGATCTTTCTACCCTCCCAGTGATGAGAAAATGAGCTGCCTGTTGGGTATATTCATTTTTTTAAATCCCTGTTTAATTAAATAACCATTTCCCTCCAAAATTGTTTCTCTTTTACAACCAGATCAGGACATTTGAATCAGTTAATATCACAATCTCAACAGGTCTGAAACCCTTAGAAGTCATGCTATCACAATTATTACAAGTGTCTGACTCTTTTGCAACCCCATGGACTGTAGCCCGCCAGGCTTCTCTATCCATGGGATTTCCCAGGCAAGAATACTGGAACGGGTTGCCCTTTCCTTCTCCAGGGGCTCTTCCCGACCCAGGGATCAAGCCTGCGTCTCCTGCACCTCCTATATTGCGGGCAGATTTTTTACCGCTGAGCCTCTAGGGAAGCTCCAGTTATAACAATAGATAATATTTACTGCCAGCTCATCATGGGCCAGGTAGTACCCAGGTCTCCTGCATTTCAGGAAGATTCTTTACCAGCTGAGCCACCGGGGAAGCGCATACAGACTGGATGGGCATGCAGATGCTGTCATTTAAAGTCAGTAGACGAGGCAGGCCCTGTGAACTCTTTGCTTACAGAATCAACAAATTGCACATTTCCCCCCAAAATCCTCACAAAGCCAGTTTCTCTAACTCTTCTATGCTCTTCAATTTGCCTTTATTTGGAAGTGTCTGGTCTTTGCTGCTAATTCATGTGAAATGAGGATGATTGCATCGAAAAATTATTAGGATGGTGGCGTACAATGTGTCAGAGTGTTTGGGTTACAGAAGCAAGAGACAGAATAAAAATAAAACCACAAAAATGACATCAAATTCTAGATCCAGTCCTCTTGATTTTAACCCCTCAGCCTCCACTGCAGAGAGATCAGTTCCGACTGCCCAGATGAAGCTGAAAAGAGCCCGTCTCGCAGATGACCTCAACGAAAAGATTGCTCTCCGGCCGGGGCCGCTGGAGCTGGTGGAGAAGAACATACTCCCTGTGGACTCCGCTGTGAAAGAGGCCATTAAAGGTAATTAGCACCAATGGCAGGCTTCCTCCATGCTGGGCTCTGAAGGCAGCCATGGCTCTGAAGTGCTGGGGTCCTGGGAGTGAAGGCGGCTCACTAAACAAGAGTCTATCCAGGGGTAACTGTTCCAGAATGTTCCCAGAAATCCCAGGAATGAGGAAGGAATTCCCAGCCATCCCCCTCCAATGTCAGGTTGACATAGACCAGGGTGGTTCTGCTCAAGCAGGTCAGAACGTCTCCCCCATGGGGATCCATCACTCTGGAGTCATGGTGCGCCTTGGGTCCCTCTTTTAAAGGGGTGGAGACTGGCAGAACAGAAAGAGCCCTGGACCTGAGTGGGAAGAACTGGGCGCTAAGCCCAGTTTGGGCTCTGTGGGCTGAGAAGTTACGCAGTTGTGTCTGACTCTTTGCTTCCCCATGGACTATAGCCCGCCAGGCTCCTCTGTCCAGGGAATTCTCCAGACAAGAATACTGGAGTGGATAGCCATTCCCTTCTCCAGGGGATCTTCCCAACCTAGGGATCAAACCCAGGTCTCCTACATTGGAAGCAGATTCCTTACTGTCTGAGCTACCAGGGAAGCCCCCCCCCCCAAAAAAAAATATATATATATATATTTATTTAAAATATACATCTAAATATATATATTTTAAAAGCTGATCCTCTGTCATGAATATTACACATCCTTTTATCAACATGTCCTATACCTTTTTTGTTTGTTTTGTTTCTGTCCTTTGTCTTTTGATTTTCTATGTAGTATATTTTACCTGTAGCAGTTTTTAATTTCTGTATAGTTCAATCTCTTAATCTTTTTCTTTGGGTTTCTGAATGTTATTGCTTACTGAAAACACTTCTTACCTCAAGAATGGAGTTATTCACCTGTTCTGTTTTCTAACATGTTTATACTTCATTTTTATATTTCAGTCTTTATGCTGAAATATAAAAATACTTTTATATATGAGAGTGCATGGTTTAAGAGACAAGGTCTAGTTTTCTTTTTTCCACAATTTTAGCGGTTTATTTTATGATGTGTCTTGATCTCTGTCTTCACAAGGCTTTTTTACATTGGCCTGATTTTTCTCATGTTTCTTGGCTACTCTTACAAGTTTCTGGTTGGTGAAATTTAGAATCAGCTTCTTATATGCCAACTTCAATCCTGTGAGAATGTTGTTCAGGATTGCAGTGAATTTATAGGCTAAGTTATGGTGAATTCATATGTTTAAATTATATGAATTCTTCTGAGGCAGAAAGATAGTATCTCTTTTCACCTTCACAAGCCTTTTTTTAAAAATTTCCCCTGGTAAGGTTTTCAAAAATAAATTCGTATCAGTTATTGCTTGCCTCTGGGAAACCTATTAATTTTGCACATTTATTTTGTAACTGGGGTGCTTCAAAGATTTTCTTAATAGTTCCAGTAGTTTCTCATTTTATCTTAAATTGTTTGGATATATAATCACATCATCTGCAAATAATGAAGATGCGCCTTCTGCTTTGTTCTTCCTTTCTCTCTGGAAGTGCTAGCTAGTAGTTGAAAAGAAGCATCATAAATTGCAAAATATCATTTTAAGTTACATGCAGTATATGCATAGCACAAATTATATATAATTTTGTATATTTTATTTATAAATTACCTATTTGTATTTGTAAATGATATATAAATGATAACAATAGAGTGTATTATACAAGTCAAATATATCTTTTATTATACATAAAATATACAGGAGTGTATCTAACCTATAAAATTATATGTATGAATTATATAAAGCACATATAATTTATATAACTTTACATTATGCAGTTTCATTATATAATTTAATAATTATTGATATATTACATAGAAGAAAATTATTATTATTGCTACATTGCCAGTGCTTCAAAAACAGTATTATAATGTTATATATTGGATTGGCCAAAAAGTTAGTCCAGTTTTATTTGTGATGTTGATGATAACACTTTTATTTGATTTAGTCTTCCTTGGGAATTTCTCTAGTCATTCACCTCTAAATATGATACTGACTTTTGCCATAAACAGATATTCTAAGGAAGTGTTTGTTCTAGTCCATTATTAAGAGTAGCTTTTAAGATGGATGCTTAGTTTTTAAAATGCTTTCCACATTCATGAAAAGATGACCATCTGAGTTTCTTTCTCTCTTCTAGGAATGTGGTACTACTGTCTTTCTTAATCATCCTTGTATTTCTGGAAATAAATCCTACACGGATATTTTTCCCCTAGAAATTGCTAGAATTTTATTTGTGAATTTTACATCTCTTTTGTTATTAGTTGGGATAACAGAAGCTGCTAACCAAACCACAAAATTTCAGCTGCTTAACAATAGACATTTATTTCTTATTTATAAATGGTCCAGAGAGGGTTTTCTTCTATGGCAAGCCTTTCAGGCACACAGACTCCTCTGGTCTTGCTACTCCATCATTCCCTAGCACAGAGGCGGCAAACTTAAAGAGCTAGATAGTAAGCAAGCTCTCCAAGCTGTCACAGCAACTCAGCTCAGCCATCGTAGTGGACGAGGAGCCGCAGGCAATACATAAACAAATGGGCATGGCTGTGTTCCAATAAAGCTTTATTTACAAACAGACAGCAGGCTCGCCAGCTACAAATTTGCAAACCTGTGCCCTGCAGCCTTATCATCCTCCAAATCTAGCCAGAGAAGAGAAAAGAAAGGAATAGCAGTTTCACAGAAACATCTCTATACTATGGAAGAGGGAGGGGGATGTAAATTTTGATGAATAGCTTTTGATCAAGAACCTGAACAAGAGTCATGATGTGGGCACAGAAAAAAATAGCATCTGAGAGGCACTTGATATGCATTGTTTGATACTGGTAGAATGTGTCAGTATGGACAAAAGGAAGAGTCACAGATGACCAACCATGGTTTCCCTGTTGGTCAGCTGGTTAAATGGGATCCATGTATCAAGATGGGAACTGTGAGCAGAGGAGCAGATCAGGGGGGAGAGGATGAATTCCTGTTTCATGCTGGAGCTGAGAGATCCACAGGAACTCTAGGGGCAGGGGTTCAGTAAGCAGGGGTTTCTACCAAACTAGACTGCAGAAGAAAGTCTTGGCCTAGAGCTAAAGACTTAGAAGACTATGGGAATTTAAACTGATGGACTTGCTAAGAGATCCCTTTCATGTATTCATTTCTTCATTTAATGATTATGGAGCATCTTCTGTGTGTCAGGCACTATTCCAAGTGTTTGCAATATATTAATGAACAAAACCTACAAAAATGTCTTCTCTAGCAGAGCTTATATTCTAGTACAGGAGACATAGATGATCAGCAAAACCTGTGAATAATTATGTATCCTAATAAAAAGTGATAAATGGTGTGAAAATAGAAGTTGTGCAGGGTACAGAGTGCCCAGTAGAGGGTGGTTGGGTGGATGGAAGGAAGTATAAAAAGTGAAGAAAATAATGTATAAACAGAGGTAGGGGTCTGTGAAGAATAAAGAGAAGGAAAAGCTAGAGAAAAAGGTGGTGGAGGTTGACCTCACCCAGGGAAGCCCCATGTGTCAGCCTGTTCAGCAGCAATCTTTCAACATGCATGAATTTCTACCAGCAAGGCAATGGCATCTTCAGTTCAGTCTCTCAGTCATGTCCAACTCTTTGCAACCCCATGGACTGCAGCACACCAGGCTTCCCTGTCCATCACCAACTCCCAGAGCTTACTCAAATTCTTGTCCATCGAGTCAGTGATGCTATCGAACCAGCTCATCCTCTGTCATCCCCTTCTCCTCCCGCCTTCAATCTTTCCCAGCATCAGGGTCTTTTCAAATGAGTGGCATCTTATGACATGTCATCTATCTTATGACATGTCATAGGGACAGGGGAAGCTTCCCAGAGACAAGCTGTAGAAATAGCCCTCTGAGTAACCCTTCCAATGGCACTGGTGGTCCCCACCCATCTCCTGGCTGTCACTTCTCTGGATCTCATCCTCCACCCTCAGCAAAGCAGCGACTCAGGGTGGTGGTTTTCTGTGTATTGTTCTCCTGGCCTCTGTGTATTTTCCCTCCTTGGACCACGCACCTTTCCAGATGTGTTTATATTTTCCAGCTCCCTCCACAGCTGTGCGTCTGTGTTTCTGCCAATCCCAGAGTGAAACACTCACTGTCTTCCACCCCGCTCCCCGACCCAGGTTTTATTCAAGACCAATTTTTCTTCAACACGAAGATGAAATAAAGTAGAACATCTCGCAAGGAGGCTGTTGACAGAGAACCAGCCCCCACTGTGGGGTTTTTCTTCTCCTTGGCAGCTGTCCCCACCCTTGCTCTCAGCTGAGTGTAGCAAATCTTTCCACCTACACCTTCCTCTCCTTTGAGATGCCAGCCAACCATCACTCTTCCAGCCTGCAGGTGTATTTTCTGAGTCAGGTAGAAGTTTACAGATTCCAGCTGGAGGAAACTTAGGCTTGTGTGGGCTATAGTGATATGATGTGAAAGAAAAGGAGGCTTGGTTTTTAGGTTCTTTTTTGTTTTTTTTGTTCTTTTTGGTTTGTTTTGTTTTTTTAATTTATTTATTTTTAGTTGGAGGATAATTGCTTTACAATACTGTGTTGTTTTCTGCCACACATCAACATGAATCAGCCGAAGGTATACATATGCCCCACGCTCCTTGAACCCTCCTCCCACCTCCTTCCCCATCCCACCCCTCTAGGGTGTCACAGAGCACTGGCTTTGGGTTCCCTGCATCATACAGCAAATTCCCACTGGTGATCTGTTTTACATATGGTAACGTGTATGTTTCCGTGCTGCTCTCTCAATTCGCCCCACCCTCTCCTCCCCTCACTGTGTCCACAAGTCTGTTCTCTATGTCTGAGTCTCCATTGCTGCCCTGCAGATAAGTTCACCAATACCATCCTTCTAGAGCCACATATATGCATTAATATACAATATCTGTTTTTCTCTTTCTGACTTATTTCACTCTATGTAATTGGTTCTAGGTTCATCCACCTCGTTAGAACTGACTCAAATGCATTCCTTTTTTATGGCT